CCCTTTCCACCCTTTAATCCTTTGCCATGTGGATCCCAAACTTTATTGATAGTGCTTTATTCAAGCCACATCAACAGACCCCTAACTGCTCAATCCAAAGCGCCTCACCTTCTCCTCTCTTCACTAGTTACACACCTCCGGCTACGAACGCACCCTCTTGGGAATCCTCCCTTCTGCCTCTGTAGTTGCTCTTTTCTGAATTCTTTTCCATTTTACTCTTAGCCAACTCGTTTTCCTTCCTTGCCATTGTTCCTCTTAAAATGTTATTGTTTGCTAAAGTCCCACCATCTGCCATCTCCACACTCTCAACATTATCCCGTGTGCCCTACATTTTCATTTACCTTCTACATATACAGGTTGCAACAGAATGCATTCCACAAGCCCTGCCTTCCTCTCAAGCTTTTTTTTTTTTATTAAATGATAGCTGTGTACATTAATGTAATCATGGGGTACAGTGTCGTGTTTTCATATACAATTTGAAATAATCACATCAAACTGGTTAACTTAGCCTTCACGTCATTTTCTTAGTTCTTGTGTTAAGACGTTTATATTCTACTTTTAGAAAGATTCATTTGTACCCTTGTGAGATAAACCATAGAGGGGATCCCTCCAATCACCCTCCCTCCACCCCGCCTCCCTCCCTTCTTCCTCTCCCCTCCCCATGTTCTTAGGCTATAATTAGGTTATAGCTTTCATATGAAAGCTATAAATTAGTTTCATAATAGGGCTGAGTACACTGGATACTTTTTCTTCCATTCCTGAGATACTTTGCTAAGAAGAACATTGCTCTCTCAAGCTTTTGATCTGCACTTCCACCTGGTTACTGGAGTGCTGCATTTGACTGTCTCCAAGGCACATTTAAACCAGGCTTTCCTCTACTGTTTGCCATCTCCAGAGACACGGTCTAATGATGCCTCTCTCCTCCTGACTCATATTTCCAACCCCTCACCAAGTTTGGACAGCCCTAGGTGTGCAGCCTCTTAAAGCTTCCATCTCCTTTCTGTTCTTTCCCTGCTTTTCTGCTTGAGATCCTTGTCACCTTGGCCATTACAGTAGCCTGCTGTTTGCCTCATGTCTTGTGTTTTTTGATTAACTCTTTCACATTTCTGCCTAAAGTGTCTTTCAAAAAAAAGCTCATATTTATTACTCCTCTGCCGAAATGTTTTGTCAATGATTTCTTACTTCCTAATATATAAAGTTCAACAACTTAAACATGGCATTCATAGCACCTAAAACTTGACTCAATAATTTCCAAGTTGTCTTATGGAGAAATAGTATCCTCATACTCTTTATTTCTTATTTTACTTTAAGACAATTAAAGAGTCGCACACAATTGTAATAAATAACACAGAGAATTCAAATATCCTCTGACCTCTTCCCTCTAATGGTAACATCTAGCATAACTACAGTATCACAACCAGGAAAGTGACCTTGATACAATCCACTTTCCTCATTTAGACTTCACCAGTTTTATATGCACAAAACTGTATCTTTGTGTGTGTGTGTTGGCTTTATGCATTTTTATTACATGTGCAAGTTCTGACAATTAAGTTCACAAATTTGCCACTATGCGCTCAGGTGGGCAGCACAGCACAAATAGCTCAGTAAGGTTTCATAACCTGGGTATATCAGCGTCTCACAGCTGTGCTCATATCAACTTGTGACAGTGTCTTGCTGAGTGGCAATCACTGTTGTCGGGTGTTTCTGTGTGCCATTGTGAGGATGTCAGAGCTTGAATTAGAGCAACAAAGAAACATTAAGTTTCTTGTTAAATTTGGCAAGAGTGGACGTGAAATCAGGGACATGGCAGCCCAAGTTTATGGGAATAAAAACATTAAGAAAATGGCAGTGTACAAATGGATGAAATGAGTTTTTCTGAGTGGAGGGAAAGCGACATTTATGGATAGAGGTATTGTGGTGGGTGCCTGTAGTCCCAGCTACTTGGGAGGCTGAGGCAAGAGAATCGCTTAAGCCCAAGAGTTTGAAGTTGCTGCAAGCTGTGATGACATAGCGCTCTACCAAGGGTGAGATACTGAGACTCTGTCTCAAAAAAAAAAAAAAAAAAGACATCTGACTTGTTTCCAGCTTTGGGATACAGGGAAGGGAATAAAAGCTGCTATAAACACTGATGTTAGGTTTTTGTGTGAGTGTAAATTGTAACTCCTTTAGGACAAATGTCTCAGAGTATCATTTCTAGGGTACAAGCTAGATGCGTATTTAGTTTTACAGGAAACTATGAAACTCTTTTTCAGAGAAGCTATGCCAATCACACCTCACGGGCAATGCACGCATGATCCCCTTCCTCTACATTCTGTCCAGCATTTGATATTATCATTATTTTTCATTTTACTTCTTTTGATAGGTATAGAGTGGTCTCTTACTGTGGTTTTAATCTGCATCTACCTAATGACTAATGATGCTGAACAGCTTTTCATAAGCTTAATTACCACCTAAACATCCTTCTTTGTGAAATGTGTCTTCATGTCTTTGACCATTTTCTTATTGAATAGTTTTCATTTTCACGGTTGAGTTGAGAACTCTTTATATATTCTGGATACTAGTTCTTTGTTAGGTATGAGGTGTGCAAAACCTTTTGCCGTTCTATAGCTAATCTTTTTATCCTCTTTGCAGGGCTTTTTAAAAAGTAAAAATTTTTAGTTTTGATGAGGCCAACTTATAATTTTGCCTTTTATTGATGGCATTTGGTGTCAAATCTAAGAACTCCTTACCTAACACTAAATCCCCAAATTTTTCTTCTATATATTTTTTATGAGTTTTATAATTTTACATGTATGTTTAAGTACATTATCAATTTTGAGATAATTTTTAATAAAGTGTAAGGTTTGCATCCGTTTTTCTTTTTTTAATTTTATTGCTGGGATTTATTGAGGGTACAAAGAATTAGGTTACACGGATTGCATTTGTTCGGTAAAGTCCCTCTTGTGATTGTGTCCTGCCCCTGGGAGGTGTGCCACACACTGCGACCCTCACTCCCCTCCCTTCTCTCCTCTCCCCACTTGCCCATTCCTCCACCCCTCACCTTGCAGTAGATCATCTACTATCTTTATATTAGAATTAAGTACATTGGATTCTTGCTTCTTCATTCTTGCATCAATATTTTTTTTAATCCCCCTGTGGATACTAATGACTCAAGCACCATTTGTAGAAAAGGCGATTCTTTCTCCATTGAATTTTTTCTGCACCTTTGTCAAACATCAGTCAAGAACATGAGTTTGTGTGCTCGTACTGTTATTGACATTCCATATCCTATGGTCACGTCAGACAGTCTATCATTTCCTAAATGCGCCTTGTGACTTTGGCCATGGAACTCACGCTGCCATTGACCCTCACTGCCCTTCTCTGCCTTCTTTGAGGCTGACCTCAAATGTGAGTTTAATACTCTCACCCCCCCCGGACTCTTACAGCACACTCAGAATCATTTATTTAGCCCTAGACATATTTTTCCTACTATATCATAAACATCTTGAGCATGGGGAAAACGTCTTACCTTTTTTAGTACTTTAAACACTGAGTTACTCCTAAGAAGATGTGGTTTCAAATACTTGAGGCAGTTTTATAAGTTTTATTAGAACTTGGTGTTCAAATAAAATACTATGCACACATACACAGATTCTCTAAACTGGTAAGGAAAGAGATTTGTCATGATGTCGACACCTAGAGATACACATCTCTAATAATACATTACTTGCTTCTTCTCATACTTTCTGAGGACAAGACCTTCTACCTCCCTATCAAGTAAGTGCCCAGAGTCCGTGCTGTACATCAGCATTTGCAATCTAAGGAGACACATAATAAGGAAAAGCCACTGACAATTCAGGAGAATTTAGATACACTTGCATTTTATTTATCTCAAGCCTTCGGTACTATAAAAACCGTACTAGATACAGCTGCGCCCAGGAGGATGATTTTCTAAGGCGTAGTGTGCACATCAGTCTTCTGATGGCTTGCAGTAATTCTAGGTCCTCCCACATTCACCGCCCCCTGATTAGAAATCCCCATGATACTTTCTCCATCCATCTATATTTGCAGCATGAACACACACTGTTTATGCCTCGGATGCATTTTAAATTGCTTCAGAAACCGTGGGCCATGCACAGCCAGTTCCAATCTGAACATGATCCAAAGCAGCAGAAATCTGATGTCCGCACAAATGGCTATTTTCATTGCAGTCATCAGGACAATAAGAGATCATTATCTGAACAAGTTTGGCAAGGAAGCCGGTTCAATTTAGAAAGTCATAAGGGGGGCGGGGGTGGGGGAGGCCACAGTATTTCAATTTTCTTCCCATTATGCTCTGTGTTTGTGTCAATACAATGAAAATATTTATAAGAAATACAGAAAAAAGAACTCTGCTAATTTTAATTCTGATTTTACTTTCTCTTAGCCTCAGTTGTGACCCCCATGTCTGTGCCAGTGTCCTCGATGACTTCTGTGTATCCTCAGGGACACTTACTACATGTCTTTTCTCATAAGCTCGGTGCTTCCCGGAGAGTCCAGGGATTTCTCACATGGGACCTACCTTGCTTTAAACTTCTCCCCCACTGCCACCTCTTCACTGAGGAGCATTGCATCAGCCACTCCCCGTCGCTGAGATCCCTCCAACCACCAAAGCTGAGACACGGTCTGTGAAGTGGGAGAGAATGACCTCACCCCTCTCTGTATATCAATCTCCTGGAGGATACAAAAGAGATAGTACATTGCATGCCAATGTCTTACAAAGCTTTTCATGATAATACTTCTTTGTATTTTTATTCCGAGCCCTCTCTCCTAATACCCAGACATGAGAGAGGCTGGGTCAGGGACACAGCCAAGCAACAGAGGCTCCGCCTTTCAAACATAAAGGCTTTGATACGGGGCCAAGCTTGTCTGTTTGATACTTCCCAGAGTGAGTCCCCATAGACTTGGTCAGCAGACTCCCTGTCATGTATACATCCGGGGAGAGGCCTGACTGGGCTCCAGGCGGGGCTGGAATGCGGGAGCTGCCACACAGCCTCAGGAAGCAGAGCCGGGATCCTGGCTCCTGCCTCCAAAGCCTCTTTCCACACTCTCATATTCAGCATCTTGTTAAAACGCACCATTTTTCAAAATGATTCTTTAGAAATACAAAATTTCTATTCTATAGGAGAATTACATTGTCAGTGCATGTTATACATTGTATTTGTTTCTTAGATATTATCCTGTTAAAAAGGATAAAAGGAAAATTAGAAAGGACAGAAGGGAAACATTCTATGTGTTTTACAAGCCTGAAGGTCTCCTGCAGAAATGCAGTGATTGTCTGGCACAATACCAGGCACACAGTACACTCAGTAAGCAAGAGCAATGGTTATCTGGATCATCATCTCCCTTCATATTTGCAACGTGATGAAAATTTTATTTGTAAATAAAGACATCCAGGTTCAGGAGTCACATGACTAGATTTCAAGTCCAGAACTACCTGATTCTCTTCTCACTTTCGAACTCTCCCTTTTATTGTTCTGTCTCCTAAACCTCTTCTCACCCGCACTAGGGACGCTCCAGTTTCCATCTTATTGTTCTCCCGTTGCAGTCATAAAATAGAATTTAGAATTATTTACGAGACCCTTTTGTCAAATAATGTGCAGAGAATGCTAGTCTATCGGTTAGTAGATATAAATTACCTTAAATGTTTTCTTTTGGATGTAATAATTCCAAACGCCCAAATTCAGAATTGGTCAGAAGGTAGTGAAGACTCGGCTCATGCCTATAGGTAAAAAATTATTATATAAAGAGAAATTAAAAGAGCTGTTCACTTTTGGTCCCGTTTATGTGAAGCCAGGATATACATTAAGTCATCTGGTAAAAATTCTCAAAGAATTTTATCATCTGTGCACTTCACTAGCGTTACCCACTGATTATTCATTGTACAGTTAAAAAAAAGAATGCTTTTTTAAAAGAACAACATTGTGGATTCCGTAAAGCAATTAAAATAGATGTATGTCATCTATGATGGGCAATGACTACGTGTTTATAAAACTTGTCACTTTTAAGAAAATAACTTTTGCATAATGAAGGAAAGGGGGGGGAGGAAATCTAAGAAATATAAACTTTGGGAGTTCAAATGTTTGTATGTTTACCAGGAAAGCAATTAATTCCTAAAGTCATTTCTTCAGACTGACAGCTTCCTAAATACCTGAGAGGCTCCATTCTGTCTGGAAGGGTTTTCTCCAGTCAACTGATACAAAATTTCAAGAAACAACTATTCCTTTTTGTATGTTTGATGGACCTTTCACAGCGACTATTTAGTAGCGTGTGGTATGTGCCAGGCTTTGTAATAGGGCTTATGTTCGTTATCTCATTTATTCCTCTTAACGATGCTAAAAGGTAAGGATTACTATCACCATTACGCAAATGATAAAACATACAGTTGACAACAGATTCATGCAAATGTAAATCATTTATATGTTTTTATAAATTTAAAATCCAGAGTTTATCTGTACAGTTCACAGGGTCCTTAAGCCAGAATCTGCCAAAGGCCTAATGCTCAGAGCTAGTCTATCTTTCTACTTCATGCGCAATAACACTCTGAAGACCCCTTCATCTGTTTTCTCGGTAAAATAAGAGAGGAGTTCATTCACCTGCTGAAGGTGTAGGAAGAAAAGTGAAGGTCAGTTTAGACCGTTCAAAACAGCCACTCAGACGGGGAAAAGGGCAGGGAGGGGATGGTTCTGAAGTCCTGGAAAGATTTCCAGGCAACACTGGGTGTCCAGATGTAAAGAATGTGAATTATAGTTGTAGGATTTGGGGGCATCTGTTTTTTAAGGCGGCCCTTAAAATCTTTCATCGTCCCAGGAGAGCTCAATAGATGAAACGCGATAATGTGGATGAGTAATACTGGAGAACGTAAAGATAATCTTCATGTGGAGTGACAGTAAGATTCTGGAAAGGGAGGCAGCCAGGAGAAGTCACATGGAGCAGCGAAGACCGGCTTAACATCTCAGGTCCCTTGACTGAATTATTATTTACTTACCATGTGGATCATGTTTGACAGGGGCTAACAGATTGATCTTGAACTGAAGTTCCTTGATAACGAGCAACTTAATGGCAGACCTGTGCTGTGCAAAGGACCAGAAACCATACCATATCCAAGGAGGAGACCACACAGGGAACTCAAAGAGCTTCCTTCCTTCTCAAGTGGTCTCTTCTGCTTTTTTTTTTTTTTTCACTCATATTAAGAAAGTTTCTATCTTCTAACTTCGCTGTAGAAAGCAAGCAAGTTTGTAAGAGCATACGAAATTCCTTTTCTAAATGTAGCCTAAGACATTTCCCTGGTAACCATATCAGATTCCACTCAGCTCTCCCTTCCTCCCATGGCGGATAGCTAATTTCTTTGCAGTAGGACGCCTCTAAGTTCCTTTACCACTGTGGGTACTGGATGGTAACGTCTGTACTTCACATCCTGGACATTATAAAACACAGTGGAACAGAACCCTTTTTTTAAAAAACAGTCACAAGAGAAACAAGACAGAATATAAAACTGAATATACAGCATAATTTACAAGTTAGATTCTCAAAAAGTGATTATATATAGAAAACAAAAAGAACATCAAAATGTTAACTGTCATCATCTCCCAGTGGTGAAGATTCAGACTTTTTTCTTTCTTTGCTTTTTTGGTTTCATACATATTTTACTTAATTAACATGTACTTTTATGATTAAAAATGAAGCAATTTTAAATAAATCAAAGTATGCACAGATCGACTTCTTAACACATACAATAAGGAAATATTGTACTACATTTAAAGAGCACCAGGAAATAATAGAAACTGGTCTGTCTTTCCTCATTAGCCTTCAACATAGAAAAATGATGTTCTTTTATTTTTATGAATACATAATAGTTGTACATATTTATGGGGCACACGTGACATTTTGATACAGGCACGCAATGTATAATGATCAAATCAGGGCAATTGAAACATTCATCATCTCAACCATTTATCATTTCTTTGTGTTAGGAGCACTCCAATTCCACTCTCTTACGTTATTTTGAAATATACAGTAAATTATTGTTAACCACAGAAGAAATAAGATCCAAGAAAAATGATGTTCGTGTAGCAATTCGGCACAAAGAATTCAAGGACAGTTAAAGGGTTGAAGGGTATTTAAATTTCTACCTAGAGGAAGTAATTTGCAGTCTCACTAAACTCGGAGTGGGGAATTCTTAGCAGAATCAGTAAATTCTCAGATTCATAAAGTAATAGTCTGTCACTAAACTCCATTATGTTGGTGGAACCTTGAGCTTTTTAGAATTAAAGTAAGAAATGAAAGATTCTAACATTAACCTATGCATTCCAGGGTACAAGATATTAGCAGCTAAATTTCTTTTATTAAAAGCAATATTCAAAAGAAAGATACATTTAAGCATGTCTGAATTATGTTTTCATTATTCTCTCCCTTTTTAGGTAGTATATGATGAAGTCACTGAGCTCCAAGGACATGTCTTAATGCTTGTTGTGAAGAGCAAAACTGTATTTGTGGGAGCAATTAACATCCAACTCTGTAGTGTCGTACTCAATGAAGAAAAATGGTATCCACTAGGAAACAGTATAATTTGACCATTGCTATGAACACATGCATTATTCATTAGCTAGCATTTTTTTTTTTTTTCACTTCTAGGCTTCTTTATCACATAAGCAAGGCATCTTTGTAGTTAAAGATACCGTAGGGTATTCTGGACAGAAGAAAAAAATGAGACCGAATGAAAAATCAGTCTCTTTTTTTGGTTGTTTTCTAACTATTCTTGTATTGTTTTCTTAGAATATTTTCTCCGTAGTGAAATGCCAAAGTGTAAAATTCAATATGCAAAGGAATAAAGGGACATTTAATTTTAATACATGTTTTAAATCAAACATAATAATGTTCACATTTTGTTTTAATTGTGTGCTTACAGTTAAAAGTAATATTCGTAATACACTTTATTAAAAATAAGTAGATAACTAAATCTCATCCATTAATTCAAAACCTAAGTTTATCTGTAACAGATTTTTTACATATAAATTATATAGACCCACTTACCCACTCATAATCTTATTTATTGAATGCATTGGTTAAGTCCAGCAAAATGCTGTATTCTTTTCTTTCAGAAAGACAAAACATCAAGGCTTGAAATTCTTAAATCCAGTTGTTAGAGGAAACTTCTTTGTAGCCTCCACCCTCTTGGACACCACTCTGTCCACTGTCACTGCCACTTTTCTCCCACCCAAGGTCATGAGTTAAGCTTATCATCTCAGAACTCCAAGATCTCAAAACTGTCCCTTCTGATCAAAACACCTTATCTTTGCACGTTAAGAATTTTCCTTATTTCTGAGTCTAGCTTCATAGTCACCATGAGCTGAGTAAAGAATCCTGCACACTTCCATCTGCAGAAGAGGGACAGCTCAAGGCACTAGCCCAAGTTCTTTAAGAGAATCAACTAGGAGAATTTGTAAACACTTACTTGTGCAACACTTTGCTATGTGTGAATAAAGACGTTAAAGCTATTCTATTTGGTCGTCTACATAACTCAGTGATTTTCAACCGGTGTGCCCTGAGAGGAGCTTAGGTGTGCGGCGAAAATGTTTAAAGATCATTAATTAATTGTTTTTGAAAAAATTTCAAAGCACAGTAAGTATATACTTTTTTTTACTCTTTTCTTTTTATCAATATAATTTAAGTGTGTCACCGAGGATTAACCATGGGTTCAAGTGTGCCGTGAAATAAAAAAGGTTGAAAACACTGACATAACAATCTGAACATGTGAAAGTCTGTATGTACATTGATTCATTGAGAAATATTGGAGCCCGTCCCCTCTGACCTATGCAAGAACATTACCACTAGAATTCTCTTCTCCTCAAAAGCACATTTCTCTGCTCTCCACGGGCTAATTCTCTTCAGCATACAAGCAATGGTATTTCTCCCATCATGGAAACTTCTCCTTAGCTCTATTTTCCTGCCAAACGCTGATCTGTCACCCCCCTCTTCTTTGCAGCAAATCTCTTCACAGTGGTGTCTCTGCGGTCTCTAGTTTCTCTCCTCCAATTTTCTCATAGGCCCGAAACAAACAGATGTTTGCCCCCACCAGTATTGGCTCTTGTCAAGGCCACAGTTTACCTCCAATTAGCTACATCCAAAGGTCATTCTTCACTCCTAGTCTGATTATACCTATCAGCAGCATTTGACGCAATCAGTGACCCGTCTTCCTCCATGCAATCTCTTTCCTCAGGTTCCAGGGTAGCACTCCACTCGCTCCTTTTGTGACATTGGTCTCTCCTCAGAACTGTGTGCAGGTACATCCTTTTTTCCTCCATGTCCACTATGGGTGGCCCAGGTCTCACTCCTCGGTCCTCTTCTCCATTGAGTTTCACTCCCTTAATAATCTCATCTATTCCCACAACTTTAAATATCATCTCTATACTGATGAGTCCCAGTTGCATTAACTTCAGCTCAGAAGTCTTCCCAAATCCCAGAGCTGAGTAGCCAATTGTCAACTCAAAATACCTCTTGGATATCTAATAAAGATCTCAAACTCAGTTATCTCTAAAGTCAGACTCCCAATCTTTTCTCCAACCTGTTTTGTCCACAGCTTTTCCCTTCTTAGTTGTTGGCAAACCCAGAAACACAGCCTTCTGTTGTTAACAGAAAAAAAATGAAGTCAAACTTTAATTTATCTTTTGATCTCTCTCTTCTTCTATTTATACATACGTATGTATGTATGTACAGTCTTTCAGAGAATCAGAAGATTGTTAAAGCCCTGCTATTCAAATTACTGGAAAAAAATATATAGATCCTTGCTTATTCAATATTTTCCTGTGTACAAATAACAAAGAAATTTAAGCTGTTTTGTACAATCATCTATACAATCATATAAACTCTAAAAGTATCCACATTTATTCAATTTAAAACATTTGAGTGCCTGGTAGGTGCTTATTTGAAATACATGATCATATATTCGTACATATGTATGTATGTACATACATATATGTATTATATGTGTATAGATACACACACAGAGGGGGCCAAAAATGTATAAAAATTGTAATACTCAATATGTATCAATAACAAAGGGTGATAACTATATTAAAATTGTAATACTAACTATATACCAATAATAAAAGTTAAATACAAGTCACGTCGAGCACCTCCTATAATTGCAGAAGTCAAATGTGACTTGAGTAGTACGAATTTAACAGTTTTTTCCTTTCTTAAAATGTGAATACATTCTTGGTACACACACACACACACAAACACACACACACACACGCATATATAGTCCAATGCATCAGGAAGTTCTGTTGGCTCTACCTTCAAATATCTCCCAAATCCACCCACTTACGGCTGTCCACCTGCTCCCCTGCTGCCTCTCTGGTCTAAGTTTCCGCTCCCGTCCTTGTCCTGGATCACATAATTACCTTCCAAACAGCCCCCTTGTTTCTATGCTGACTCTGCTCCCTTACAGTCTAGTCTCAACACAGCAACTGGAATGATTATGTCATTTTTCTGTTCAAAACTCTGCAGGGGCTTCTAATCTCAGAGTAAAAGCCCAAACCTCTAAAATAACCTAAAAGGCCCTCTATGATCTGACCCCCTATCACTGTCTCTCTGATTTGGGCTCTTTATTTGATCCTGTATGCTCATAACCCTCAGGCCACATTGGCCTCCTTCCTGGCTCCTGAGCAGCACTGCACACATGCTTCATCCCTGGGGTCTTTCATCAGCGGGCTCCTTCTTCTCAAAATGTGGTTCCGTCCCATATAATCCCTTGCCTCACCCCCTCATCTCTCTCCAGTCCTGTCAAATGTTTCCGTCTCTGTAAGTCGACTCTGCCCACACAATGGAAACCTCAAGCTACCCTGTCCCAGGTACACATCACGTCCTTCCTACCCTGCCCTATTTGTGTCATTGCCCATTTGTCAGTTTTAAATATCCTATATAGTATGGCAGGGCATGGTGGCTCGTGCCTGTAATCCCAGCATTTGGGGAAGCCAAGGCAGGAGAATCATTTGAGATAAGGAGTTTGAGACATTCTATGCAATTTACTTATTTATTCTGCTTATTATTTTTGCTTTATCTCTTTCTGTTAGATAGTAAGACTTAAGATTAGAGCAAAATTTTGTTCACCGACAGTATAGCCTTAGATTCAAACAAGAGGAGTCCTTGCCCTGCGGCTCTCACCATAGAGAATCCTGCCTCCTCTGGTTGTGAGTCTGAATCACACCCAAACCCTCCTTTTAGACCACAGTCTAGGTGCCAAAAGACCCCAGAAGTCCTGATTGACCAGCCTTCACAGACCTTCTCTCTGAGTCTATTCATATGAAGTCATCCATCCAGAAGCCTATGGATGTAGTACAAATGTGTACACACAGGTGCAGGAGGGAGCCAGGGGAGGAAAGAAAAGCAGGGCATTGCAGGACAGGGACCAGTGCTTTCATTACACCATAATCCAGAAAGAATGGATTCCAAGGAATCCCAAGGATTCCAAGAACTCTAAATTAAAACCCTCTTTCCAGTGTTTATGAAGGTATAGTTATCATTAAGTGAAGAATAAAATATATTATTGGTTAGCTTTATTGATAACTTTTTTTTTGAGCAAAGTCTCACTTTGTCACCCTCAGTAGAGTGCTGTGGTATCATAGCTTACAGAAACCTCAAACTGTTGGGCTCAAGCTATCCTCTCAATTCAACCTCCCAAATATATGAAACTACAGGCTCCCACCACAGCACCCAGCTACTTTTACAGACAGGACTTGCTCTAGCTCAGGCTAGTCTTGAACTTCTGAGCTCAAGCAATCTACCTGCTTTGGCCTCCCAGAGTGTTAGGGTTACAGGCATGAGGCAATTAGGCAGATGATATGTGGGTATTATGAATTAAATCAAGTTCCCCTAAAAATTCATATGTTGGGAGTCCTAAACTCAAGCACCTCAGAATGTACCTTATTTGGAAATAAGGTCACTGAAGATGTCATTGGTTAGTACGAGGTCATATGGAGTCAGGCAGGCCCGTCATCCAGCGTGACTGGTGCACTTATAAAAGAGGGACATTCAGGCACAGATCTGCACCAATGCAGGATGCCCTGTGAACGTGAAGGTGGGGCTGAGGGTGGTGCATTTACCACACAAGCAATACCAATGCCTCCCAGAAAAATACCCAAAAGTATGGAATGGGGGGGGATGGATTCTCCCTCATGGCCTTCAGGAGGAACAAACTCTACTGTCCCCTTGGTCTTGGAATTATAGCCTCCAACATGTAGCTATTGTTTAAGCTATGCAATTTGTGAAGCCTTGTTATGATGGCCTGAGCTATTTGTTGTCTTGATCCAACCCCACGTTGTGCCCCAACAACGGACATATTATTATTGCTGTTGCTTTATGAATTAATGGTTAAACAAATGACTGAATGACACACTAGTGACAAGAAAAACAAAATGCCTCATCTTAACTCATATTCCTATGAGTTTTAAGGTTCCTTTATCCTTTTTCTTTTCTTTCGAGACAGAGCCTCAAGCTCTCCCCCGGGTAGAGTACTGTGGCATCGCAGCTCACAGCATCCTCCAAGTCCTGGGCTCAAGCGAGTCTCCTGCCTCTGCCTCCCAAGAAGCTGGGACCACAGGTGCTTGCCACAACACCTGGCTATTTTTCTTGTTTTTTGGTTGTAGCCATCATTGTTGTTTGGTGGGCCCGGGCTGGATTCAAACCCTCCACCGTAGGTGTATGTGGTTGGCGCCTTGGCCACTTGAGCCACAGGCACCAAGCTCCTTTATCCTTTTTAATTCTGTATTTTATTTGCTCCCCACAAAAAGTTTAATGAGGTGAGA